TGGGTGACTTGTCCCACCTTATAATTTGGACGAGTGGCGACTCCCCTTTCTTTTTATATTTTCACACTTAATCCCATTTTAAGTGGTCGTCAACAGATTGGCGACTCCACTGGGGACAGAACCCAGAATCTTTGGTTTCCGTATTCTGGGTTCACGAGGGTCGAGCTAATACTTTAACTTTGGGGAATTTTTCAGCTTTGATTTTCTTTGTTTGTTGAGTCTTTTGTGGGTCTTTGTTATTTATTGCATGTGCTTGTCGCGTGTTGCTTCTTGTTGGTTGCTTATTGTTGGTTGCTTATTGTTGGTTGCTTATTGTTTGTTTGCTCAAAGTTTTAGTGGTTGCTTTGATTGTTTTGCCTTTGAGTAATTATCTTGCTACATCTTGACATGCATCATACCTTGCTCATATGTTCATGCATCATATCATCTCACATGCTCATTCATCATTAATATAATATGCTTATCCATCATGCATCATGCTTACATGCCTACTTGTTTGTATGTGGATATACTCACCTTTTACACTTGGCTATGGAGTGCTCAGTGAGTCTCTCCCCTCTTGTGCGATTATTTATATATTGTTGCATGCTAAGTGTTGGTTGCTTTGTGTTACTAACCTTTTGCATTTGGCATGGGAGTACTAGGTGAGTCCCTTCTTGTTGTGTAAGTAGGTGTGTTTGTGGATGCTATATCTATTGAGTGTTTTATATGCTTTATTTGATTGCTGTGGGATATATGTTGCTATTTTTGTGGTTGCCATTGTGCAGGTTATTGGAGTGTCATGCCCTTTGCACACACTCAATCTCATTTTGCATTAGGTCCGTGTCGGAGGTGAACCCAACCTCTAGTCTGGAATCCTTACGAATCTGGTTTGGAAGAGCAATTCTTCCCGCCTTGAGGAGTAGGATCGGTTCTCGTTAGGTTGTTTCCATTGGTTAATACGACACCTAATGATGTAATATCATTCTGTGTATTAGCTTTTGGAAATATCTCCCATTGATTCCGAAAGGATAAATGGTTGAGAAGGCCTAATACCCTTTAGGAAAACATGTAGTGGCCTTAAAGTGATACCAACCCTAAGACATGTTTCCCTTAGCATCCCACCCGTGAGATTAGGAATCCCGTGTCTAAGACACAAAGGGGCATTTTTCTTCACTAACCTTGTCTCCGCACATGACAGGTTTTCGTTTTTATATACATTTGAGGTATGATTAGTTATTCATCTTCTGCATTTAGACATCATTCTTGAGGTAAGGAGCATTCCATGCACTTTGTATCTTCACTTTCAACCC